TGGGCTTGTCTGTCTGCCTCTCACCAGCTCAGGCTCAGGCTCTTTCTCTGATTCTTTCTTAGTGTCTCTGCATGTCTCTCATTCCTGGTTCCATCTCTCTCTGTATCACTCCAGCCCACCCCTATCTCCCTGCTGTCCTGATTCACACACTTTCTTTCCTTCAGAGTTCCTGTTTTTGTCCACCCGTCATCCTGACTTTGTCTTAGGGATGAGATCAGGGCAGGATTGGAAGAAGTTGTCCTGGTGTCCAGGGGAGCCTCCTTGGGCAGTCATGTCTCCCCCCCACCCTGACCCTGTGAATTGAGAACCCCCTCGGCCCCTGAGCCAATGAACCCACAAAGAAGAAGTGGGACTAAGAGTGGGAAGTTTCTGGGGGTATGTTTCTACTCAATGAAAGCAACTGAAAGACAGTGAGTGTTCCATCCCAAGCTGTGCAGAGGGAGCTCTGCAAGGAGATTTCTACACCATTCCAACCACGTGCCCTGAAGAGCTGCTGAGATTTGGGCTGAGTGATGGGGTTGCTGGGCCTTCCCTGAGCTAAAAGGGTTAATGCCCTGAGCCCTGAGGGTCTCCCAACCTGCTCCCACCCCTTCTTCACCTTCACCCTTCCAGCTACCCCCTCTTTTTCCTCCCTCCCCGTTGTCCCTCTCTCCTTCCTTATTCCTTTTCTCTCTCCATCAGGAATGGTAAGAATTCATTAAATGTGTCCTCAGCTCCTGTCTCCTCACTTCCCCCAAGGAATTAGCCAGTTCCTGCACCTTGAGCCCTGTGTATGTTCTAGGAACATACCACTTTTGTGCGCTGTTGCATGAACTGGCCCATATAGGTGTTCCTGCATATAAAGGGCACACTGTGCTTCCGCCCGTTTCTGCAGGTTCACCAATGTGGACACAGGTGTGAACAATTTCAGGTGCACTGCTGGATCTGAAGACACATCATGATCACCCTGCACACACACATTCTTCCTGGCTCCCCAGCAAGAACCATTGTGCCTCGTCTTTGGGGTAATGATGGCGACAGCAGCGACAGTGCAGATGGCAGGAGCTCCAAAGCGGGAAGGTGGCAGTGGTGCAGAGAAGACACTCACTAATGAGGCCACTTGCCTTGCCAGCCTGAGAGTTGGTGCCACTAATTATTACCTTAGTAAGCACTTCCCCAGAGAAGGGCTGCTGCCTGAGCCCTGCTCTCCCCCTCCCCCGGGACCCTTTTCCCCACCTCTTCCCAGTCTTGAGAGACTGCAGGAGCCAGGGGACCAAGAAGGGCAGCCAGAGAACAGAGCTGTGTCTAGTCCCACAAGGAAATTCAAGTTACTTGCCTGCCTGCCTGCCCATTTTTCTGATGCCACGAAGCCCACTGTTAAAGCACACTCTCCAAAAGGCCTCTGGGGATCCAAGGTGCTTCTGGGGGAAGGGAAGCCTATGTGCCCTGACCAGTCCCTCCACAAACAATGAGCATGCTTCTGTGAAATGAGCACTAGGCTGGGAGTCTGGTGGGCTGGCTGATAATTCCAGCATTGTGTAACCTTGGGCAAGTTCCTGTGCCTCTCTGGGCCTTGGTTTCCTTGTCTATAATATAAAGGAAAAGAACTAAAGTTATTTTCTCAAAGAATAACGTATGCATCATTGGTGAGAAACAAGACTATTTCAGATAGTACACAGATAGCATGTTCTATTTTAACTATATATTTATTTTCATGTGTCTATTCTCACATGTGTGTTTAGCACATCAGACCCCAGGGGCCAGCTCATTACCCCATCCCTGTCCCAATCTGGACACCTCTTCTACACTCATAGTTCACACCTCCCCATGATCCCCCAGCTCCCCACACCCCCAGGCAAGAGATGTACCAAAGGGGGCCTGCTCCCTGGCCAGAGCTCAGTCCTCCTAGATCTGCTGCTTGCTCACCCCTTCCCATTGCCCTCAGAAGGATCTATCCCAGGGCCAAGCCAAGGCTGGACATGCCAAATTCCAGAGCCAGAATGGATCTCTGAAGTGATCCAGAACACACATGCAGATATTTTACAGGTGAGAAACCAGAAATCCAGAGAGACACCTTGCCCAAAGTCACACAACACAGTGGTGTGGCTGAGATCTGAGCTCACAAGACCCCTGGACCAGTCATTTCAGTTTCTGGTCATGGCTAATTGTCATATGGCCATGGGAATAATTTTCATCTCCAAATGCAGGCCCCTCTCCAGAGCATGGATGGACCTGGGTTTGAATCTCTGTTCCACCACTTTGTGGCTAAAAGTTACAACCTCTCAATAAATAAATAAATAATAAAAGTTACAACCTCTCTATTTCCTCACCCAAAAATTGGTGCTCAAAAATTACCCTAACCCCTTGTGGTTGTTATGACGCTCAAGTGATATAATATTGGTAAAGTCCAGGAACAGAGTGGGGCCCCTGGCAGGTTCTTCCTGCATAGTGAAGATAGGCCTTCATCATCCCTAATATGTCAAGGGGCCCCATTGCCTTTTGCTTAGGGGAAGGGGGACAGTTCAGGACAGTGGAGCAGGAAGAACAAGGAAAGAATGTGTATAGGGCTGCAGGGCAAGAATAAGGCCACTTCCTGCTGGAGGAAAGCCTGGAACACTCCCTTGAAGAGGTGGCTTCAAGCAGAGGATTCAGTGTTCCACCTCTCTTGCCCTGAGGCCCCTTGGGGGTTTCCTGTGGACCACATGGCTTCAGGGAAGCACCCTGCTCTGAAAGCCAATCCCAGTCCAAGCTTCTACCCTGAGTGATCTGGAGGTAAGTTCCTCCCCTCTCTGGGCATCTGCAAAACGGGTCCAGAGAGGACCAAAGAGCACTCCCTTAGAGGCCTCTTCCAGCTCTGGCCCTTTTGCAATCTCATCCATACCTCTCTCCTGCAGTACCCAAATCTTGCCACTGGGAGGCAGCATGGAGTTGAGCTGGGGAAACCTTCCTTTCCGCTGCCGAGGCTGGAACTGCTTGCTGGACAGTCCCTCCCCCAGCACCATGTGTTCTTTGTTCCCCCACACCCTCAGTCGGCTCTCCAAGGAACCAGATCTGGGTGAACACCCAAACTCAGACAACATTTGATCCTTCCCACAGCCCTGCAGAGCAGCCAGCATTCTCTCCACTTTCAAGATGGGGAAACTGAGGCCCAGAGAGGGAGGACTTGTTTGAGGTCACTCACTAGACATGGCAGAGCCAAGTTTCCACAGCCCTCTTTCCCAGCCCCAGCCCCTAGAGGAGGCTGTTTGAAGGGAAGATTAGAGTCAGATTAATTTGGGCTGGAACCCTGGTGCCCCCAACCCTGGCTGTGTATCACTCGGCAGGTCATCCACCCTCTCTGACTTTCAGCTTATGTAAGTACCTGGCACATGGAAAGTGCTGAACACACGAAGCCACTGCTTTTTTTCCAGTAGACTTTACAGTCCACAAGAACAGACACTTGTCTATCTTACTCACCTTGGCATCCCAGAGCTTGGAGGCCCTCTCCCTTCTGGGCCCTGCTTGGGACTCAGAATCAGGGTCTCCTTTTTCAAGCACTTTCTACCATCCCAGATTAACTCTTTCATTTGTCTCCTGACCTAGTAGCCCTGCCTGGTGTTCACACGCACCCGGGCCCTGAGGCAGGGGCTTCTGCTCACCCGGCCCACCTTTCTCCCATCTCTCAGATCCCTCTTCTCCATCCTTGTCACTCTCTGTCCCTCTCTCCTTCTGAGTCTCCACTGTACACTACATGCTGTGTTTACAATGACGACAGTTTTTTATTTCTCTTTTGTCTCCCTTCCTCCCCTGAAGGGTAACATGCCTCCACTCTCCTAGGGAAAAATGAAGCTCTGGAAGAGAAGAGCAAACACAGGACAGTGAGACTATGGATGCCCCCAGCCACACTGCCCACAGGCCACAACGCCCATAGTCCTCGTCTTGTCAGGGCCTCTAAGAACAGCTTCGTTATTTGCGGGGTGACTAAATATCCATCTTTACTCTAGAGGATAAACAGGGCAGAGGGACATGGGAGCAAGAGAGAGAGTGAAGGACAGGAGGGGAAAAAAGCCAGAGGGAGGCAGAGACTTGGAAAGAGAGGAGTCAGATGGGAGGCTGTGGACACAGAGAGGAGAGGAGAAGCTAGAAGGAACAGGACTCTCTGCCTCCAGTGAGCTTAGAGATGCAGCCGTTGACCCCAACCAGGAATCCAGGGACACATGCCCTCCAACCAGCTCCCCCACCCCCATCCGGTCCAAGGATGAGGAACTGGAGGGCCAGGTGGCAGGAGCTCCTACCAGCTTGTCCTTGGGTGGCTTCTCAGGTAGGCATCTCTGAATGCTGGGTCTGGCTTATCTTGGTAGGCAGGGTCTCGCAGCCAAGTGTACCTCATCCAGAGGTAAGACTCTAGGAGCCAGCCAGTGGCAACTCTAACCCCGGGGGCCCAGAATCATGCCCCAACTCCCTGAGCACAGAGATCCTCCTGATCTCCCCTATGCACCTATGCCTGGCATGGAGAGAAGAGGAGGCATTGCCTTGGTTTTTCTACTTTATTCTTCAGGGCACTGGGCCTTCTGAGTGAGCCTGGGGGAAAGGGATGTGTGTGGTGTATACTGTAGTGTCTGTTTGCACGTGTAGTATAAGTGTATGCTGTGTCTATCTTTCCCTGTGAGTGTAGTATAAAGCCTGTGTTTAAGTGTGTCTGATACTGGGGGTGCCTGTGCATGCGTGTGCATACACAAGTAAGCATGTGCAGTAAGGAGTGTCTGTCTTGCCTCTGTGTATATGTGGGTAAGGGATGTGTGTTTGTGCACAACCCCTACCTGTGTGCCTGTCTGTGGTGCATTAGTGTTTTTCTAAAGTCAGGTCTTCACATTTGCTCCTGGCTCAGAGCCACCATGCCCCCAGCTCCTGTGAGCCACAGTAACAAATGGCCTTCAGTATCTCTTCAACAACAATAGAATGACAAAGACCAGCCCCCCAGCCAGTTTATAGGAGGGTCATGTGATTGTAGTTTTACCACCCAGCCCTGGTAGGGCTGATCCATGGAGTGAGTCCCCTAGAAAGAAGGAAAGAAGCTCTGGTGGGCACCCTGCCATACCTTGAATCTTATCCATCCTCCAATGTCTGCTCAGGTTTGGAGGCAGCTGCTTCTCATCCTCCCAGCAAGACAGCCTCTGAACTCTTGAAAACCTTTGCCATCCTTTGGTATACTCAGGCATACCCAGAGCCTAGCAAAAGGCAGATCAGCTAATGTTTGCAAAATGAAGAAATAATCTTTGTGTGATAAAGTGCTGGGCTCCAGGCCTAAGATTTAAGTCCTATAAGACCACACTTACTTCCAGGTCAAGCTGGACCCTCTAAGGTGTTTAAAAGAGGTGGGGCTCTGGCCAGTGTGGCTTAGTTGGTTGAACATCATGCCATGTACCAAAAGGTCTCCAGTTCGATTCCCAGTCAGGGCACATGCCAGGGTTGAGGATTTGACCCCCAATTGATTGATCGATTGCGCCCGCGCTCTCTCTCATTCTCTCTCTCTCTCTCTCTCTCTCTCTCTCCTACTCCCTTCTTCTCTCTTAAAACAAAATCAATAAATTTTTTTTAAAAGGTGGGGTTAACACTCAGACAGGCCTGGGAGGCCATACCCACCTGACCTTCTGCAGGTTACCTACTTTGGAATCAAACTTTTGACAAAGCAGTCCCCATCTCTTGGCCTTGACTTAAAATTCAAGAGGGAGGCAAGGCCAAGAGATAAGGACCACTTTGTCAAAACTTTGATCCCAAATTAAATAGCTGTGTCATTTTGCAGGCTGAGGCACAAGGCAAGCCCATTCACTTTCCCTAGAGGCCACGTCTCCTTCTTGGCAGGGCCATCTTCATCCCCTGAATATGCATTCTGAACCCTCCAAATTCCTTCTCTCCTTCCCATAAGACCACAAAACCACACTAGGTTTAGTTCTAGCTCTAGGGCTAACTTCCAGTCCCTACCCAGATAGGGAGGCAGCTGGAGTCTGTCCCAGAGTGAGTCATGAAGGCAAAAAGTAGGATTTAGTCCTAATATAAGTCAAGGGTCTCACATCTGACTGAGCCCTGACACTAGTCACAGACTAAGCCACAACTCTGGTGACACACAGCCCAGACCCTGCTCGCACGCTGAGCCCCGACCCTGCTCGGACGCTGAGCCCCGACCCTGCTCACACACGGAACCCCGACCCTGCTCGCACGCGGAGCCCCGACCCTGCTCGCACGCTGAGCCCCGACCCTGCTCGCACGCTGAGCCCCGACCCTGCTCGCACGCTGAGCCCCGACCCTGCTCACACACGGAGCCCCGACCCTGCTCGCACGCTGAGCCCCGACCCTGCTCGCACACGGAGCCCCAACCCTGCTCGCACGCTGAGCCCCGACCCTGCTCGGACGCTGAACCCCGACCCTGCTCGCACACGGAGCCCCAACCCTGCTCGCACGCTGAGCCCCGACCCTGCTCGGACGCTGAGCCCCGACCCTGCTCACACACGGAACCCCGACCCTGCTCGCACGCGGAGCCTGGACCTTTATTTAGAGACAGTCCATTAATTTGTCATATGGCCAAAGTTACTTTTCTGACTCTGTGCCTCAGTTTCCTCATTTTTCTACCCCCAGGACTTGTGAGGGGCTGAGCACTAAGATAGAAAATCCTCATTCAAAGGCTGCCATGTAGCTCTTCTGACCCAGTAACAGAAGAGCCTCAGCTGCTGAAAAGAGCCAGCCCCGCTCCTACCCAACACTTGCAGCCCAAGCATCCCTAATTATTGCAGCCTTCATAGTAAATGAAAATGTTGCCTGGGCCTGTTTGCTCAATGGTCAGAGTGTCGGCCTGTGAACCAATGAGTCGCGGGTTCAATTCCAGTCAAGGTGGCATGTACCTCGGTGTGGATTTTCCCTGGCCCTGGTCCGGTAGTGCGGGAGGGAACCAGTTGATGTGGCTCTATCACATTGATATTTCTCTCTGTCTCTCCCTCCCTCCCACTCTATCTGATAATAAGTAGAAAAATATCCTCAGATGAGGAATAAGAAGAAAGAAAGAAAGAAAGAAAGAAGAAAGAAAGAAAGAAAGAAGAAGAAGGAAGGAAGGAAGGAAGGAAGGAAGGAAGGAAGGAAGGAAGGAAGGAAGGAAGGAAGGAAGGAAGGAAGGAAGGTAAATAAATGGCATTGTTGGCAAAATGACATCTTTCTAATCTGCTGCAAGACAGATTGGTCCCTAAGCTCACTCACTCCCTATCAAGCCTGCCCAGCCCAGGCTTGTCAAAGACTGTGGAAGACAGGATAACACAATACTCCGGGCCTGAGAGGGCCTGGGGGAGGGACTTCAGGCCCAGAGCCAGGTATGACCTGAGTTTTTCTACAAGCCTATTTTTAAAATACTCAGGTGTGTGTGTGTGTTCTTTTAATATTCTGAAGATATTCTCTGCTACTTTCTGGCAAAAGTTAGTTCAATTAAATTTTCATTTTCAATTAAAGCCTAAATATTTCTCAAATGCACAAAGATGAAGCAGCAGACACATCAGAACATTCTGAGTGGCCTTTTCTCCTTCCTCTCTCAGCTCTTGGGGCAAGAGATGCAGAAGAATGTGTCTCTGCCTGAGCCATGGGATCTGGGGGACATTTTGCCTCCTCTCCTCTTCCCCTCAGCCCCTCTCTCTCCATAGTCCACCCTCACTCCTGCCATTGGCCCCAGGCTGCAGAGCAGGGGTAGAAGTCCCCCCTCACACTGCCTGTGTCCAGGGGGCTGGGAGAGGGGCTGGTCCCAGGCATGGGGCACATCAGAATGGGAAATCCAGATACCAAGAATTAAGGAAAGACAAAGACCTTAGCCTTTCCAGAGCTGGCACCTGTCTTCCCAAAAGCCAAGTCAAAGGGTTGGGGGCGGTGGGCAAGGCCTGGACTCAGGAGCGAAGCAACACTGTACCGTCCTGACTGGTGTGTGGCTCCTCCTCTAACAGGCACTGCAGGGCTAAACTGTTGAGGCTGGGGACATACAAGTGACTCTCCAAAGACAACATGTGACATGCAGACCCTCCTCCTACCAGCCTGCTCGGCCCTTTTGCCTCCTTCCTAGGCTGACTGTACAGCCTTCAATCTCTGCCCATCCTGCCAACCTTTTCTCTCTGCCCAAAGAATTCTGAAAATACTACATTTTATCTAGCCCCACTGCACTGAGGACAAAGTCTGAGTCCACTCCAAGCTGACCATCATCTGGTCCCATTGCCAGCCAGCCTCCTGTAGCTTGGGCTGTTACCCTCTGCATTTCCTCATCTCCCTGCTCTGCACCCTTTGGTCTCATCTACTTGCCTTTGCTCTTATCTTTACCTCCACCAGGAATACCCTTCCTTCTACACATTACCTCTGCTTGTCCTCCTGGTACCCTCCCCAGGAAAACTCCCCTCAGAATGACCCTTCCCCTCCTCTGCCCACCCACTTGCTCTGCTCCCCTCTGACATACTGAGCACTGTCAGAGACCAGAGTCACACAGTTCTGGACCTGGAAGAAACCTGGATATCCTCCAGGTCAACCCCAAGGCCCAGAGATGGGTGGAAGCTACACAGGACCACACAGCACACTAGTGGCAGAGACAGGACTAGAACTCAGCCCCCTAGAATCTCTGCCCAAGGCTTCTTGAGAACATGTGGCCTCCCCTGGTGAGCTAGAACAGAACTTCTCCCAGACAAGGCCCCTGTAATGCCTCCCAGTATCCCCACCCCTCATCCAGGGCAGGGCCCAAAGGAAGCAATCATGAACATTTGCAAAATAAAGAAATTAATAAATAACAATATTTATCTAATACCTTCTGTGAGCTAAACATATCAGGCACCAGCTCTGCTACTCAAAACCCAGGTAATTGCCCTGGCTAGTTTTGCACAGTGGTCGGAGTGTCAGCCTGCTGACTGAAGGGCTGAAGGTTTGATTCCCGGTCCAGAGCATACACCTGTGTTGCGGGTTTGATCCCTGGCCCCAGTCAGGGGTGTTCAGGAGGCAACCAATTGATGTGTCTCTCTCACATTGATATTTTTCTCTCTCTCTCTCCCCCTCCTTCCTCCCTTCCATCTCTCTAAAAATCAATAGAGAAATGTTCTCAAGTGAGGATTGATAAAAATAATAATAATAATAATAATAAAACTGTTCTAAAAACCTAGGTTGCTCAATTTGGTATAGAAAATATCCTCTGTGGGGAGGAGTGTGTGAATACACCAGGAGATGCCTCAGTTGTGAATGTCAATGACCAGAGGGAACAGGTAGGGTGAGTGTTTGATGCCCATTGTGAAAGCAGGTGTGCGGGGCTTGTGTACTGTGACCTGCTGGACATCATGGGAACCCGGGCCAGGCTGAGGTGTGTGGCCCATCGGGTAGGCAAAGCGCTTGGCCATGCTGTAGATGGGGCTGCGGTTCTGGTAGACAGACGGCTCAGGTCGGGTGTGCGTGGCTGGCCCAGGACCTCCTGCCACATTCTTCTTGCAGAACCAGTTCTTGTCTGTGGAGGCCACACTGTAGCATGGAGCAGCTCGGTTGATGGGAATGTTGGGCCCCAGCAAGAGTGGCAGATCATAGCGGTTGGGGGCCGGATTGGGGTCCGTCACTCTGTATGGGCACCGGTAGCCGAAAGTGTATTTTGGAGCCCTGCGTTCCCCAGGAGGGTGGGTCTTCTCCAAGCAGTAGTGGCAGGAGGCTGGGGTGGAGCTCAAGCCTGAAAGGGGTGAAGGTGGGGAGCTGAGGCCTTGGCCAGCCTGGTGTGACTTCACTAGAACCACCCTAGCTTTGGGCAGGGACACATCCAACCCATCATGGGGCTATGGGCAGGGGAGGGACTTAGGCCATCCTGATATTAGAATGTGACACTATTGTCATAATATAAAAACCACAAATGTCATCAGAACATCACCCTTGAGCTATCAGCATTCTGACATTGTCCCTGTGATAACACCAAGAAACCATCCTAAAGTCCACGAGTTCATTAGCGTGGCAATACTAATGAGGCCCAATATGAGCCCCACTTTTATCATAACAATCACCCTATCACATATATACATAACACTGGCTTTAAGCTGTTAAGTACTATGACACAGACATGGTGACATCAGTGTCTTGATGTGAAACTACAAGGAGATGCCAGCATCCACAGACACACCTGGAGAGAGGAGTCCTGATCCTTTGCCCCTGTTCAGGTCCTAAGGGTGAACCTCCATTCTTTAACCTCCCACCCCCCACCCCCCACCCCCCATCCCATCTTACACAGGTTAGAGATGCGCTCCTTCATCGGGATCTGCAGGCAGCTGGACATTCCAAACCGAGTTATTTTAGGATTCAAGAAATAGCAAGGCTCAGGGTTGCATGCATCTGTGATCCCTGCAGGAGAGGCAGCCGAGGAGCTCAGTCAGCCCCAGAGGCTGCCCCAAGGTGAGCCTGGACTGTCCACAGGTGAGACCCTCCTCCCCAAGAGAGGGGATAAGGGTTTCCTTTCAATTCTTTGGGCTCTTGGGTATTTTGGGAACTTTGAATCCTCATCTGTAAAATGGGGCTTTTAACATTCTCAAAAAGTTGTTCAGAGGGACAGATAAAATAATAGCTGCACAGCAGTTTGGTCCACTGGTCAGGGATTGGTGCTAAGCGGTCATAGTAGGCATGGTGGCTATTATTAGTATTAAAAGGAGGACCAAACAAAATAAACTGACAAACAAAATAGTTGCAGAGGCATAGATGCATGGAACAGACTGACAGACCTCTGAGGGGAGAGGGGTAGGGAAAGAGATTACCCAAAGGCCATATATGCATTGCTCATGGACATAGACAATAGTGTGGTGAAGGTCTGGGGAGGGGCAGGGGCTGGGTGGAGGGGGACAAGGGGAGAGGGAATGGGGGACATCTGTAATATTGTCAACAATAAAAAAGGGAGCCCACCCGGCTGGTGTGGCTCAGTGGTTGAGTGTCAACCCATGCACCAAGAGGTCACCGGTTCAATTCCTGGTCAGTACACAGGCCCAGGTTGTGGGCCCGATCCCCAGTGTAGGGCATGCAGGAGGTGGTTAATAAATGTTCTCTCTCATCAGTGTTTCTATCTCTCTCTCCCTATTTTTCTAAAATCAATAAAGGGGAAAACATTTTTTAAAAGGGGGGGGCAGCCTCAGCCATGGGAGCCCCCTGCTGAGGCAAGTGTGTCACCCCAGCGAGGGGCCTAGCAGGCACCCTAGATCTCAGACCTCCAGATACATACCCCTGCCCAGCCTCTCCTCTCACTGGCCGTGGCCAGCAGTCCCATTTCTCTGTGACCCTCTGCTCCTGTTCTTCCAGGGGTTTCTAAGCCACCTGGGAAACTTTGGGAGCTGCTATTCCCACCACTTTCTTCCCAATCCCCAGCTATTCCTGCCCAGCTGCTGTGGCTAGTGAATCCATAGTAGCCAGACTGCAGGGCCCCAGCCAGTAACCAGACAGAAAGGAGACCCTGCTCTGCTAGCTGGACGGTGATAGCATCCCTTTAAAGCTCCCTCAGGAGGTGCAGTTGGAAGATGCCCAGAGTTGCCTTCAGAGTTGCTGACATCCATCTGGACACAGCAGATCACTTTGATGTCCAGCTCAGGGCAAGCCTGGGTTCCCAAGGGCCTACAGCTACAGATAATGGCTCCTTTCCTCTCAATGCCACCTCCAAATATCTAACAATAATAACCCTACAACCAAGAGGTGATGGATGTGGGGGACACTCACGCTTCTCCGAGTGCCGAGTGTGCAGAGTGCAGGCTGGCTCCTGGAACATGGTGTTGTCATGGCCTAGGTAGCCTGTGCAGGATTGCCGCAGATACTTGGCAGGCCCCGGACCTGTGAGAATGGACAAAGCAGCACTCAGTCTGGGCCCACCAGATCAGAGGCAGGAAGCCCCAAACACGGTGCACCATGAGAACACTGGGGTCCTTGCTTCCACTGATGTCACACTACCACAAATCCCACCATCGGGCTGCTTCCTTGGGTGAAATACTGTTCCCAGATAAAATGTAATTTCTCTTGGACAGGCAATGCATAAGAAAGGTAATAGTTACAATTAACTAAGAACTTATTCTGTGCCAGGAAATACACTAAACATTTTATATGGATTATTTCAGTTAAGCCTCCTTACAACTCTGTAAGATACAGACGATCATTTTTCCCATTTTACAGATGAGAAAACTGAGGCTTAAAAATATCAGTTTGCCCAAAGTCACACAAGCTGGTAATGTGAAAATTCTGAGACAATCAGCAAACAGAGCCCAAACATTTGATCACTTATTAAACCACCTCCTAAACAGAGCAATAGTCAGTCATTAATAATGTAGTAAAAATTAGTATTTCTCCTGTCAGTTGAAAGTAAGATTCAAGGGAAGTGAGGAAAGCTAAAGCTGGGTTAAAGGCTCCAATAAATCTATAGCCTTTTTCCAAAGCTGGCTTCACTTTATGCCTCATGCTCCCTTCATCTCCTACCCACCTCCTCCCCCAAAATTCCCAGCAGCTAATCACTGCCTATAAGTTTCAGCTTGGAGGCACAGATCTTCTGTGGACTTTGAAGAGAGTCTGCAGGAGGCAGTAGGGAAGGCAGGGACACCTTCAGCGCCCAGCAGAGAGAGGAATGGGCCCAAGCTCAGGGCAGGGGTACACTCTCACCTTTGATCATGGCCATGATCACAGGGGTCTGCTTTACTTCCTGCCATGAAGGCATCTGCACCTTCTTTTCTAGGTGCTGCCCACAGGACACAGAGTTCCTGGACCCCTTGGGCAGTTTCATGGCTGAAGCCAAGGAAGAGCAATAGCAACTACCAAAACATTTAAGCAGCAGGCAAGGAGCTGGGATTGTGTGGGGCCTGTTCCAGCTACCCCTGCCCAAGCTCCTGTGTCTACTCTCCTTCCTTCCAGAGATGGCGAGGGGGCTGAGAAGGAAGTCAATACTCCAGCGTGAGCAGCTGATACAGTCTAGGGTACAGCTAGCCACAGGGCCCAGCAGGCAGGAACTGGAGATGACATCACTGCAGAACTTAGACTGTGAAGCCCAGCGTTTATTTCAGTCAGTTGCCATGGTGCCTGAACTGTGGCACTGAAATTCTATGCTAGCAGCTCAGTTGTGGAACCCTGAGAACTCAACCCCACTTCACTTTACTCCCAACCAGACTAAATAGCCTGAAGTATCCCCAGGACCCTAGGTCAGGGAAGGAAAAGGGAGAGGTGGAGTGACAGAGCCAGATCTTCACTCCTGGTGGGTGCCCTAGGGTTGGGAAAAGGAGCAGAAAGAATAGGTAGGTCATGGGTTAAGGGTTCCTGAAGCCTTCACAGCCGCCTAGGGTAGCCCTTTTCCCCCTCCTCCTCCTACCTATCGCCCCAGACTCCCACCTATGCTCTTCCTTCTATCAAAGTCTGTTTTTCTTTGGGAAAGGATCAAACCAATTATTTCACATGAAGGTGTAACTGCCTGATAGCTTCCCAGACTCTTTTTCTAAGGCCAGTATCTAGAAATCTATGTCTAGCTCAAGGAACACTTGCCTGCTGCTGGCATTTCAGTCAGGGAATGAGAAACAAACACAGGAGGATGGAGGAATGGTGCTGAGCCTTAAGAAGCCACTTCCTGTGCCTGTGGTCAAGAACACCCCACGGGGGGGGGGGGGGGGCGGTGTGAGAAGAAACATATGATTGAAGTATGAGCATCAGAGCTGAGGAAATGCTGGAGACTTCTACACCCTTAAAATTCCAAGAGTTTTTTGGGGTCCCAGGGCCTGCTTGCACCTACCAGTTCATAGCTCAGATGAGATTTGATGGAAACCAGGCAAGAGGGGTTTCCATCTTAGGAACAGATGACAGTTGGCTTTAGAGAGGGTGTCAGTCACAGCCCCAGCACATAGATAAGGAAAGAGAGGCCCAAAAAAGGGAAAGACTTGCCCAAATTCTCCCCCCACATCAATAGCAGAGACAGAACCAGGACAAAACCCCAGGGCTCTCTTTGGATCATAGGCCCTGAATCTAACGGAAACCAAAACATGCTGTGCACTCATCCCCGCGAGCAGGCGCAGTCAAGACTTGAAGCAGAACAGCCATGCCTGCTGCGTGTTCCAAAAGCCCCTTGTCAGACTAACAGGCTCACCTATGGAGTAGCCAAGCCTCTGACTTCTGGGGAGGCCAGGCTTGACAAAGTGGGGATTGGCCCAGCCTCAGCTGGCCTGGGGCCACAGGCAGTGTCACATCCACACCCCATCCTCGTCAGCTTTTCCTGGAGAAAGCTGTGAGCCCGCTGGGCCAGAGCCCTGATGGTCTTCTCATGCCAATAGGGGCCAGATGTGGAGCCAGAAGCTTCACCTTCTTGGTTAGGGGGTGGGTGGGAGGGTGGTTCTTGGTATTTCAGATTCAGGGAGCCTTCCTTACACTTCCCCCAACCCCCACCTCCTGCATCGCTCCTGTCTGTCATCCTTGTGCACAGCTCTCTTGGAAAAGCTGAGCCACTCTACACCCCTGCTTCTGCTCCAAATGCTCCCTCCCTCCAGCTCTTACAGAGACCTGGTTCACCCTGAAGACAGACCTCAGTCCTCTCCAAAGCTTCTGTTCTGTCTCCTATACCCCTGTCCCTCCAAGCCCAAGGTAGAAAGGGTCGTTTTTCTCCTCAGTACCCACCAGGCACTGCTCCTCCAGGGTTCCAGCCTCCAGAGTGCCCCTCCTCATGTCCTCAGGACTACCATCTGTCCTGGCTTGTACACTAGTGGCTCTTCTTCCCCACCTCACCAACTCCTGCCATTATCCTGGTGACTTAGGCCTCCTCAGGGACCTCCCATCAATCCTTTGTCCTGCCAGTTCCCAGACCTCCACTCCCTCTCAGCCACCCGCCCCCAGCACATCCCAGCTTTCTCCCTGCCTCCACTGCACTGACCTCCATTCAGCTCTGACCTTCCTTCAGAACGCCAGCCCACCATTCCACTTGGCTGGTCCTAGTACTCTGGCACAAATCACCTACTACCACTGAGACCCTGTCTCTGACCCTGCAGTTTTCCCCATCCTTCAGTCCCTTCCTGCCTTCATTAACCTCCTTGTCCAGCTTTTTTTCCGTAAATCATCATGTCTGCTTTGTCCACCTGCACCAGGCAGCTAAAAGCTTATGGTCTCTAAACCTTGGATTTGCCTTCATACCCATCTCCACTCTGGTTGGCTTGCTGTCTCCCTTTCCAGAGATTATTTCAAGCACAGCTCACTCCCCTCTTCAAGACTGGCCCTCCCTCCAGCCCCTGCTCCACCTCCTCCTCAGTTAAGAAAAGAGAGGCCCCTCCCTGCCACACCATCAAAACCATCTGCTTCCACTGTCACCTGCTCTCACTTCCCTCTGGGGCTAGGAAGGCCTCTCTAAGACTTCTCCCGGCTCCTCAAGAACATTTGGTTCTCCATGACCCCTCTTTGTGTTTTAACCCCTCATCTGGCACCTTCTTAGCTCACTCTACATACCCTACATTCTTCCATCTATTACAGACCATATTCCTGGCCCCATCACTGCCTAGACCCCTTTCCTCCAGTCCACAGTCAAACTTCCTTCAAGTGGCATTTCCCTATTGTCTGTTCTCACCTCCCTTTCACACTTCGACTCTCCACCAACTGGCTTCGGGCCCATGACTCTACCTCCACAATGACCAACATGTGGAGGCTGCAACCAATCGATACTTTCACTCTCACACAGTTAGCCTCTCAGGAATGCTGGACCAAACTGACTGCCCATTCCCTCCTCCTTGCAGCACCTCCTCTGGTTCTAAGATGTTCTGGTCTTCCTCCCATGTCCCCACTGTGCCTTCACAAGCTTTCTTCCTGGCTCTTCTTCCTCAATCTGACTTTTCAATGTTGGCAATTTCTAAGGGAAAAAGGGTAGCTTTACAGGGAGAATCCTGGCAGGCACCACCTCAACCAAGTGACGGAAGTTAAATATATTAACTCTGTACAACAGGACAGAGAAGTGCTGTGTGCTTCCCGAGAGGTGCACTGAGAAGGACACAGCATCTCTTCTGGGCTGTTCCCACCAAAAATACATAACCTGAACCTAATTAGGAAGAAAAGAGATAAACTCAAATCAAGATTCACTTTACAAAATAACATTTCTGAAATGTCATGAAAGACAAAGAAATACTGAAGAACTTTTCCAGATTAATAGAAACTCCAGAGATAAAACAACTAAATGCAACATAGGAGCCAGAATTTTCCTTTGCTATCAAGGATGTTATTGAGGCAAAATTGGAAAAAATTATGTGGCTATTTTAAAGTATTGTACTAATGTTAATTTTCTGATTTTGATCACTGCACTCTGTTTATGAAAAAGAAGGTCTTTGTTCTTAGGAAATACACACTGAAGTATTTAAAGATAAAAGAGCATTATGTCTGCAACTTACTCTCAAATAGTTCAGAAAAATATATGTATGTACACAGAAAATAATTTAAAATGTGGTAAAATATTGATATTTGTGAAATCTAGGTGAAGGGTAGGTAAGAAATATTTATGATGATCTTGCTACTTTTCTATAAGTCTGAAATTTTGTCCAAAAAATGTTAGGAGGAAAGAATGTTGGTGTGTCAGAGTTCAGTCCTGGGACTTTTGTCATTTTCCACCACCCTCCTCTTGCCTGGGTAGTCTCATCTTCTCTTGTTGCTTCAATCCCATTATCTGTATGCCAACAATTCTCAGATATTTGCCTCTGGCCCAGACCTTTGTAGAAGCTTTAGACCTACATATCTAGCAGCCTCCCCAGTGTCACTTGGGTTTCTCAGAAGCATTTCTAAATCAACATGCCCAAAATTTTTCTCATGAGATGCCCCTACTGCTCGTTTATCTCAGTGAAATGATGTCACCATCCATTCAAGTGCCCAAGCTAGAAAATTGAACTTGTCCTAGACATCTCACTTATCCTTACTCCCCACATCATGGAGAGCCTGTGAGCTCCCAATGACAAGGTTTCTGTCATTTACTCTTATGTCTCCAGCCCCCAGCATAATGCCTGAAAAATATTGTTGAATGAATGAATGAATGAATGAATTGATCCATTGATTGATCAAGGAAACATCATTTCTCCTCAAGGGAGCAGAGTCCTACTTTCTGAGTCCCAGACACATTCCCAGTCTGGCTCACTGGACTACTATTTACAGTTGTGCAGGTTTGTATCAGTTATCTGTTGCTGAGTAACAAATTGTCCTCAAAACCTAAGCCTGTTTCTATGGGTCAGGAGTTTAGGAGTGGCTTAGATAGATGGTTCTGGTTCCAGGTCTCTCAAGTGGCAGTCAAAATGTCACAAGTAGGGGCTGCAGTCACCTTAAAGTTGTATTGGGGTTTGCAGATCCATTTTCAAGATGGCACAGTCACATGAATGGTGAGTTGATGCTGTTGGTAAGAGGGCTCAGTTCCTTTCCACATGGGTCCTCCACAGGCTGCTTAAATGTCCTCAAGTCATGGTGTTAGCTTCCCCCAGAACAAGTAATTAGAAGAACAAGGCAGAAGCTCCCATGTCTTTTATAATCTCACCCTAAAGCCTGGTCAGTGTGGCTCACTGGTTGAGCATCAACCCATGCACCAAGAGGTCACTGGTTGATTCCTAGTCAGTGCACAGGCCCAGGTTGTGGGCCCGATCCTCAGTGGGGGGCATGCAGGAGGTGGCCAATTGATATTCTCTCTCATTGATGTTTTTATCTCTCTCTCCCTCCCTCTCCCTTCCTCTCTCTCTAGGATAAAAAAAAAAAAAAAAAAAAAAGGTCAATAAAGAAAAGAAATTTAATTTCACCTTG